AGGGGGCCAAGGAGCTGACACACCCTGCCAGGAGGAATTCCTGAGAACTGGGAGTAACAATGCACCCTCGGTCCTATGGGGAGGGCTGGAGGCTTGCCAGGAATGCAGGTCAAGCTGTTCTTAGGAACTGGTTGTGTGGGAGCCAAATCACCTGCTTTATTTAGGGGTAGGACGTGAACTCTCATGAGTAGCGTTGGCCAAAAGGAGGCTTTAAACCACTCCACCGACCCACACTCCCATCTGGCCAAGCTCTGGGCTCCCCTGGTTCTGCTGGGGCACCTCACGGCCAACCCCCAGCCCAACTCTTCCTCCCATTGACTTTGCATTTGTACTTGTTCAACTTCATCCTATTTTCCTGATTCTGGGCGGCATGAACAGGAGTGGGGTGAGCAAGACACGAGGAGTCATTCTTCCGCTCTGCTCTGCGCTGGTTCGGCCTCAATTGGAGTATTGTGTCCAGTTCTGGGCACCGCATTTCAAGAAAGATGTGGAGAAATTGGAGAGGGTCCAGAGAAGAGCAACAAGAATGATGAAAGGTCTAGAGAACATGAGCTATGAGGGAAGGTTGAAAGAATTGGGTTTGTTTAGTTTAGAAAGGAGAAGACTGAGAGGGGACATGAGAGCAGTTTTCAGGTATCTAAAAGGGTGTCGTAAGGAGGAGGGAGAAAACTTGTTCTCCTTGGCCTCTGAGGACAGGACAAGAAGCAATGGGCTTAAACTGCATCAAGGGAGGTTTAGGTTGGACATTAGGAAAAAGTTCCTACCTGTCAGGGTGGTGAAACACTGGAATAAATTGCCCAGGGAGGTTGTGGAATCCCCATCTCTGGAGATATTTAAGAGTAGGTTAGATAAATGTCTATCAGGGATGGTCTAGACAGTATTTGGTCCTGCCATGAGGGACCCTTGAGGTCCCTTCTAGTCCTAGTATTCTAGGATTCTATGTGAGATAGTATCAAAAACCTAAGGAAATACAACCAAGGCTCAGCTACTACAAGGTGGTTGGAAGACCCTTTCCAGAGAGTAGTTATCACAAGCTCACAATCCAGCTGGAAGGTCATAACAAGTAGGGTCTGGCAGGGATCCGTCCCGCGTGTGGTTCTTTTCAATATTTCATCATTTCTTTAGCTAAATGAATAGAGAACACAAGCTGGGAGGGGTTTTTAGTGCTTTGAATGATAAGATTTACATTCAACATGATGTGGACAAAGTGGAGAAATAAGATGAAATTCAATAAGGACGAATGCCAAGTGCTCCACTTAGGAAGGAACAATCAGTTTCACTCACACAGAACGGGAAGCGATTGGCTAGGAGGGAGTATGGCAGAAAGGGATCTGAAGTCAGAGAGGACCACAAGCTAAATATGAGTCAATGGTGTGATGCTGTTGCAAAAAAAGCCAACATGATTCTGGGTGGCATTAACAGGTGTGTTGTGAGCAAGACACGAGAAGTCATTCTTCCGCGCTACTCTGCGCTGGTTAGGCCTCAGTTGGAGTATTGTGTCCAGTTCTGGGCACCACATTTCAAGAAAGATGTGGAGAAATAGGAGAACATCCACAGAGGAGAAATAAAAATGATGAAAGTGCTTGAACACAGGACCTGTGAGGGAAGACTGAAAAAGAGAGGATTTGTTTAATCTGCAGAAGAGAAGACCTAACGAGGGACATGGTAACAGCTTCCAAGTACACAAAAGCTTCTTAGAAAAAGGACAGAGAGAAACAATGTTCTTGTTAACTTCCGAGGACAGGACAAGAAGCAATGGGCTTTAACTGCAGCAAGGGAGGTTTAGGTTGGACATTAGGAAAAAGTTCCTACCTGTCAGGGTGGTGAAACACTGGAATAAATTGCCTAGGGGGGTTGTGGAATCCCCATCTGTGGAGATACTTGAGAGCAAGTTAGACAAAGATCTTATCAGTGCCGGTCTAGAAGATAACTGTCCTGCCGTGAGAGCAGGAGACAGGACTAGAAGACCACTTGAGGTCCCATCCAGTTCTATGATTCCATGACTCCATGTCACCAAGGTGCACAGAGTCCACAGGGCCTGCACCCCCATCTGCTGCCAGCTGTGACTCTCTTCTAGCTATCATGTGCCAACAATGCCCCACTGCTATATACATCGGCCAAGCTGGACAGTCCCTACGTAAAAGAATCAATGGACACAAATCTGATATTAGGAATGGCAACATACAAAAACCTGTAGGGGAACACTTCAATCTCCCTGGTCTCACAATTACAGATCTCAAGGTAGCCATCCTGCAGCAAAAAAACTTCAGGACCAGACTTCAAAGAGAAACTGCTGAGCTACAGTTCATCTGCAAGTTTGACACAATCAACTCTGGATGAAACAGAGACTGTGAATGGCTTGCTAAGGACAAAAGCAGCTTCTCCTCTCTTGGAATTCACACCTCCAGATCAGCTGCTAGAAGTGGGCCTCATCCCCCTTGATTGGATCCGTCATCTCCAGCCTGATCCTGGCCTGCATATTTATTCCTGCCTCTGGAAATTTCCACTACCTGCATCTGACAAAGTGGGTCTTTGCCCACGAAAGCTGATGCTCCAACACTTTGGTTAGTCTCTAAGGTGCCACAGGACTCCTCGCTGCTCTTCCAGCTAGGAGCACAGAAGGGACAGAGAGTAGCACAGTAGGAGCTGTCAGGACCATCCGTCTCAGGGAGAGGGACAGGACCTCCCCCTGCCTCTCCAACCAGCCTGGACTCACCGACTCTCTGTTCCAGGTCCCAGCTCCCTGCCAGGATCCTCCTCTAGCTTTTGTCCTGCTTCCCAGTCAAAAAGAGCTTCCCCTGGTTGCATCCACTCCTGGGTTCTGGCTGCGAAGGGCATCAGCCATGGTGTGCGCGAGGGACACGGTCACATCGGAATTCCCATCCGTATAGAGGCAGTGTCCTGAGACGCG